GGAGTGCAGTGGTGCGATCTCAGCTCACTGCAACCTCCGCCTCCCAAGTTCAAGGGATTCTCCTGCCTCAGCCTCCTGAGTAGCTGGGATTACAGGTGCGTGCCACCACATCCAGCTAATTTTTGTATTTTTAGTAGAGATGGGTCACCATGTTGGTCAGGCTGGTCTCGAACTCCTGACCTCGTGATCCGCCCACCTCAGCCTCCCAAAGTGCTGGGTTTACAGGTGTGAGCCACTGTGCTGGGCCCCAGGCTTCTCTTAAACTCCTGGCCTCACACAATTATCCTGCTTTGGCCTCCGCAAGTGTTTGGATTACAGGTGAACCACAGCGCCCTGCCTACTCATTTATTATTTACAGTACTCCCAAGAGTTACTAGTTGAAGCTAGTAACTGAGGAGACTGGACTACAAACGTGGGAGTGTGGCTTTACAGTATGTACTCAAACCTCAGTTTGAGATCCTCAGTTGTCCTACTTAGCCAACTCGTATGGTTTATATCACAGTATTATAAACAAAAAAATCTAAAATTGCCATAATTTTTACCTAAACATTTGCCGAGTCTGCTATAAGATTCCTAGAAAAATAATACATTTACATTATACTTTACAGTTTACAAAGTGCTACCACATTATCTCATTTAATCTTCAAAACCATCCTGTGAGATAAGCCATTCAGATGTTATCTCTATCTCACAAATAGACCAAATTTAGATGAAATAAATCACCTAAGGTCACACAATTAAACAGAGCATAGCACTTCAGTAAGGCCATCTAGCAAGGCTAAGTTAAATGCCCTGTTGAACACATAAAACTAGCAGCTAGGCCGGGCGCAGTGGCTCACGCCTGTAATCCCAGCATTTTGGGAGGCCGAGACGGGCGGATCACGAGGTCAGGAGATCGAGACCATCCTGGCTAACATGGTGAAACCCCGTCTCCACTAAAAGTACAAAAAAATCTCCGGGCGTGGTGGTGGGCGCCTGTAGTCCTAGCTACTCGGGAGGCTGAGGCAGGAGAATGGCATGAACCCGGGAGGCGGAGCTTGCAGTGAGCTGAGATCGCGCCACTGCACTCCAGCCTGGGCAACAGAGTGAGACTCCGTCTCAAAAACAAACAAACAAACAAACAAACAAACAAAAAAACTAGCAGCTAGCCACAAACCTACAGGGTAACTTCCCTCCAGACTGTATAAGGAAAGGACACAGAGGTCTCTTGAGATGACTCCTCCCTATAATTTGTCATTGGTAAATGAGAAAGTGACTGGTAATGATTTTTCTCAGAAAAGACCTTGAAAGGTATATCTCTGTTAAAAAAAAAAAAAGATTTTTAATTGGTTTCTGGAATATGAAGGTATTCATTGTTTATTAAACCTGCAGACTGAAACAAAGCTGGGTTTTTAATGCCCCAGCAGTCTTCTGAGTCTTTTAAATTGACAAGTGCTATATAGTGTACAATTTTTGAAGTTAAACATCTAGCAAGCAGACTACAGAGAGAACTACTGAGAAAATGTCAATTTTAAGAAACCAGGCCAGGCATGATGGCTCACGCCTGTAATCCCAGCAATTTGGGAGGCCGAGGCAGACAGAATCACCTAAGGTCAGGAGTTTGAGAAAAGCCTGGTCAACATGGCGAAACCTCGTCTCTACTAAAAATGCAAAAAAATAAGCTGGTCATGGTAGTGGCGTGCACCTGTAGTCCCAGTTACTCAAGAGGCTAAGGCATGAGAATTGCTTGAACCCAGGCGGCAGACATTGGCAGTGAGCCAAAATCACACCACTGCACTCCAGCCTGGGTAACACAGCAAGACTCTGTCTCAATAAAAAACAAAACTGGTCGGGCACGGTGGCTCACGCCTGTAATCCCAGGACTTTGGGAGGCTGAGGCAGACGGATCACAAGGTCAGGAGATCGAGACCATCCTGGCTAACACGGTGAAACCCCATCTCTACTAAAAATACAAAAAATTAGCTGGGCGTGGTGGCGGGCGCCTGTAGTCCCACCTACTCGGGAGGCTGAGGCAGGACATGGCGTGAACCCAGGAGGTGGAGCTTGCACTGAGCCGAGATCGCACCACTGCACTCCAGCCTGGGCAACAGAGCGAGACTCTGTCTCAAAACAAAACAAAACACCCAAAACTTGTTTATAGCGTCCCAAGAATCCAGGAACAGTGTAAATCTGAATCAAGAGTAATTAATTCATAGCTCAATTTTAAGAGAAAGAGTACTGTTGTGATTTTCCTCACCCACCCTCCACCCCTGCACTGAGGAGCTAGAAAATGTAAAGAAGGAACAATGCTACTTGACTGCAGAAGGCGTAACAAACACAAGCTTAGGTATTTCATTTTGCTTTGAAATAGTTTGTACTGTGGAAGGGTACAAGAAGGCTTCGAGAAGCCAGTGTGGCCACAGCTCTTGGCTGCCACTATAAACATGAACTATGAAGTGCTACGCTAGGAACTTCCACGATTCTGATTTCTTGCCAGTTTGAAAAACCAAATTATAAATGTGAGGCCATGGTAACACCTACAGACCTAGGAAACTAAACCAGTAGGGTTTCTAGTTAAATGCTAAGGTGAAGCATTTAAAATGTTGGTCAGGGTCAGGCACGATGGCTCACGCCTGTAATCCCAGTACTTTGGGAAGCCAAGGCAGGCGGAACACCTGAGGTCAGGAGTTTGAGACCAGCCTGGCCAACACGGTGAAACCCTGTCTCTACTAAAAAATACAAAAATTAGCTGGGCGTGGTGGTGCACATTTGTAATTGCAGCTACTTGGGAGCCTGAGGCAGGAGAATCACTTGAATCCAGAAGGCAGAGGCTGCAGTGAGCCGAGATCATATCACTGCACTCCAGCCTGGGCTATAGAGTGAGTCTCTGTCTCAAATATAAATAAATAAATAAATAAATAAATAAAAATGGCCCGGCGCGGTGGCTCACGCCTGTAATCCCAGCACTTTGGGAGGCCAAGGTAGACAGATCACGAAGTCAGGAGATAGAGACCATCCTGGCTAACATGGTAAAACCCCGTCTCTACTAAAAAACCAAAAAATTAGCTGAGCGTGGTGGCAGGTGCCTGTAGTCCCAGCTACCCAGGAGGCTATGGCAGGAGAATCAGGTGAACCTGGGAAGAAGAGGTTGCAGCGAGCCCAGATCGCACCACTGCACTCTAGCCTGGGCAACAGAGTGAGATTCCATCTCAAAAAAGAAAAAAAAGAAAAAAAAAAAAAGAATTCAGAGGAAAGCAAACTCTGAGTCGAGAACCTTCACCTCTGTGAGATTCAGAATCACCTATGGAGTTTAGAAATACAGATGCCTGCCGGGATGCGATGGCTCACATCTGTAATCCCAGCACTTTGGGAGGCGAGGTGGGTGGATCACGACGAGGTCAGGAGTTTGAGATCAGCCTGGCCAACATGGTGAAACGTCCATCTCTACTAAAAATACAAAAATTAGCTGGGCATGGTGGTGTGCGCCTGTAATCCCAGCTACTCAGGAGGCTGAGGCAGGAGAATAGCTTGAACCCGGGAGGCAGAGGTTGCAGTAAGCCAAGATCGTGCCATTGCACTCCAGCCTGGGCAACAGAGTGAGACTCCATCTCAAAACAAAACAAAACAAAACAAAATAAAAATGCTGGGCACAGTGGCTCACGCCTGTAACTCCAACACTTTGGGAGGTCAAATCAGGTCAAGACCATCCTGGCCAACATGGCGAAACCCCGTCTCTAGTAAAAACACAAAAATTGTCCGGGCATAGTGGAACACTCATGTAGTCCTAGCTACTCGGGAGGCTGAGGCAGGAGAATCACTTGAACCAGGGAATCGGAGGTTGCAGTGAGCTGAGATTGTACTACTGTACTCCAGCCTGGCAACAGAGCAAGACTCAATCTCAAAAACAAAAACAAACAAAAAAAAAAAAAAAAAAGGAAGAAATACAGATGCCTAGACCCTACTCCACAGAAAATACATCAGGAAGTGGTGTTTTTAAAGCAGTATTTTCATTTTTTCTAATTAAAATCGTATATGAACATTCGATTACAAAAATGTATAACGTGGCCAGGTACAGTGGCTCATGCCTGTAATCCCAGTGCTTTGGAAGGCCAAGGTGGGCGGATCACAAGGTCAGGAGTTTGAGACCAGCCTGGCCAACATAGTGAAACCCCATCTCTACTAAAAACACAAAAAATTACCTGGGCGTGGTGGCAGGCGCCTGTAATCCTAGCTACTTTTGGGAGGTGGAGGCAGGAGAATCGCTACAACGTGGGAGGTGGAGGTTACAGTGTGCCAAGATCGCGCCACTGCACTCCAGCCTGGGCAACAGTGGGAGACTCCATCTCAAAAAAAAAAAAAAAGTTCAGTCCGGGCGTGGTGGCTCATGCCTGTAATCCCAGCACTTTGGGAGGCTGAAGCGGGTGGATCACGAAGTCAGGAGATCAAGACCATCCTGGCTAACACGGTGAAACCCCGTCTCCACTAAAAGTACAAAAAAATCTCCGGGCGTGGTGGTGGGCACCTGTAGTCCCAGCTACTCGGGAGGCAGAGGCAGGAGAATGGCGTGAACCAGGGAGGCGGAGCTTGTAGTGAGCCAAGATAGCACCACTGAACTCCAGCCTGGGCGACAGAGCGAGACTCCGTCTCAAAAAAAAAAAATTTTTTTTCTTGTTGCCAGGTGCACTGGCTAACGCCTATAATCCCAGCACTTTGGGAGGCTGAGGTGGGCAGATCATGAGGTCAGAAGTTCGAGACCAGCCTTACAAACATGGTGAAACCCCATCTTTACTAAAAATACAAAAATTAGCTGGGCGTGGTGGCACATGCCTGTAATCCCAGTTACTCAGGAGGCTGAGGCAGGAAAATCGCTTGAATCTGGGAGGCGGAAGTTGCAGTGAGCCGAGATCACACCACTGCACTCCAGCCTGGGCGACAAGGCGAGACTTCATCTCAAAATAAATAAAGAAAGAAAATAAATAAAATTGTTTTACTTTTGAATTTTTTTCTTTTTAAAAATACTTAAAAATATGGACTGCTTCATGAATTTGTGTGTCATCCTTGCATAGGAGCCATGCTAATCTTCTCTGTATCGTTCCAATTTTAGTACATGTGCTGCCTAAACAAGCGCCAGTTTACCCTTTTATACAATGCAATGTATCTTTGACATTATTCCATAAAGATCTCCATCCCTAACAGCTGCCATAGCATTCCATTGTATGGTTTCCTTTTTTTTTTTTTAAATTATGAAGAATACTGTTTTGACACTGGCAGTGAGCCAAAATCGCACCACGGCACTCCAGCTTAGGCGACACAGCAAGACTCTGCCTCAATAAAAAACAAAACCAAAAAAACCCAAAACTTGCTTATAGTGTCCCAAAGAATCCAGAAACAGTGTAAATCTGAATCAAGAGTAATTAATTCACAGCTTAATTTTAAGAGCTGGCATCTGCATCTTTCTTTCTTTCTTTTTTTTTTTTTTGAGCTGGAGTCTCAGTCGCCCAGGCTGGAGTGCAGTGGCGTGATCTCGGCTCACTGAAAGCTCCGCCTCCCAGATTCACGCCATTCTCCTGCCTCAGCCTCCCTCGTAGCTGGGACTACAGGCGCCCGCCACCACGCCTGGCTAATTTTTTTGTATTTTTAGTAGAGATGGGGTTTCATCCGTTAGCCAGGATGGTCTCGATCTCCTGACCTCGTGATCTGCCCATCTCGGCCTCCCAAAGTGCTGGGATTACAGGCGTGAGCCACAGTCCCTGGCCAGGCATCTGCAGCTTTCGAAGCTCCACAGGTGATTTTGATGAACATTCTTGGATAAAAGCTACTGCTATAAGAGGATTGGCAAAAACCATATTCCTCAAGTGAAATTACACACATTACTGGAAACATAAATCAGTTCTCGGGGCCAGGCACAGTGGCTCAGGCCTATAATCCCAGCACTTTGGGAGGCCGAGGCAGGCGGATCACCTGAGGTCAGGAGTTCAAGACCAGCCTGACCAACATGGAGAAATCTCGTCTCTACTAAAAATACAAAATTAGCTGGGCATGGTGGCACATGCCTGTAATCCCAGCTACTAGGCGAGGCTGAGGTAATCACTTGAACCCGGGAAGCAGAGGTTTCGGTGAGCTGGGATCGTGCCATTGCACTCCAGCCTGGGCAGTAAGAGTAAATCTCTGTCTCAAAAAAAAAAACAAAAAAAAAATCAGTTCTCATAGTTCGCTAGAATACGGGTAAACATTTTATTTTCTCCATTACATTTAGAATAACGATGAAGCAGTAAGGGAAGTAACAACTGATGTGCTTGAAAACAAAACCTCCTCTATATCACATTCAACACCAGCCAGTCTAGATCTTTGTTGTACAGCAATGAAACTGGAAGAGCACCGCTTAAAAGATCCTCAGCATCCCTTTCACCAGAAGAAAGGTAACAGGAGCACCAGAAGCATGATTACGGTTGCTGTGTGGTCTGCTTCCCAGTGAAAGACCTGTTTAACCAAACACCAAGATAATAAGCAAAACACAACTGTCATGATTCCAAGCCTTGGCCCCTAATACCTTTCACTTCTCTGACCTCTCAACTTTATGTCTATAGGTAGTCACATATAGTTACTGTATAACTCAGTTTCTTCATCTGTAAAACAGACTTAAAGACCCTCATGGGATAACTGAGAGGTTAGCTTTTTTCTTTTTTGAGACGGAGTCTTGCTCTGTCGCCCAGGATGGAGTCCAGTGGCATGATCTCGGCTCACTGCAAGCTCTGCCTCCCGGGTAACTGGGACTACAGGCGCCAGCCACCACGCCCGGCTAATTTTTTTGTATTTTTAGTAGAGACAGGGTTTCACCATGTTAGCCATCCTGGTCTCGATCTCCTGACCTCGTGATCCACCCGCCTCAGCCTCCCAAAGTGCTGGGATTACAGGCGTGAGCCACCACGCCTGGCCCTGAGAGGTTAGCTTTTATGACCCCTGGCATTAATTATTTATATATTTGCACATACACTCTATAGTCTTCATTATATATTGCTTAAGCAGTATATATTCAGAGATAGCTTTCTGAAACCCAGTACACTTCTCAATGAGAAAACAACATTTTTATCCTATAGATCTAGCTGAAATTCATGACTCGGTTTCTCCAAAGAGCAGAGCAGTTCCAGAAAACACTCAAGAAGAACCCAGATATGGCTACCATGAACGAACCAAGAACTACAAAACAGAGAAACCAAGATCTTATTTCTGGAGGACTGAGACAGAAGAGCTGCCAGAAACAGAAATCACAATACATATACCTGAAGTGCAGGAATTTCTTGTGCTTTTTCGTTTATCTGGCCCAGGGAGGAGAATAAAGTCACAAAGTTTGTGTAATAAATGGCAAAAGGAGGCCAGGCACGGTGGCTCGCGCCTGTAATCCCAACACTTTGGGAGGCCGAGGTGGGAGGATCACCTGAGGTCAGGAGTTTGAAACCAGCTTGACCAACATGGTGAAACCCCATCTCTACTAAAAATACAAAATTAGCCAGGCATAGTGGCACATATCTGTAATCCCAGCTATTCAGGAGGCTGAGGCAGGAGAATCACTTGAACCCGGGAGGCGGAGGTTGTAGTGGGACGAGATTGTGCCACTGCACTCTAGCCTGGGCAACAAGAGTGAAACTCTGTCTCTAAACAAATAAATGGCAAAAGGAATTTACCTTCCGAGGAGTAAAGGAAGGAAGTACGTTCTGGATACAAACAGAAAATTTTAACAAAATTTATTTGTGACAAATTTTTTTTTTTTTTTTGAGACGGAGTCTCGCTCTGTTGCCCAGGCTGGAGTGCAGTGGCCGGATCTCAGCTCACTGCAAGCTCTGCCTCTGGGTTTACGCCATTCTCCTGCCTCAGCCTCCTGAGTAGCTGGGACTACAGGCGCCCGCCACCTCGCCTGGCTAGTTTTTTGTGTTTTTTTAGTAGAGATGGGGTTTCACCGGGTTAGTCAGGATGGTCTCGATCTCCTGACCTTGTGATCCGCTCGGCCTCCCAAAGTGCTGGGATTACAGGCTTGAGCCACCGCGCCCGGCCAATTTTATATCTTAAATATCTTCCAATTCATACTTTTTTCTAGCCCCACTGCTACTGCTCTATTCCAAGCCACCATCATCTCTTGCATGGATAACTCCTGATCCAATGCGTTTTCAACAGTAGCCAGTGATTTCAAAATGAAAACCTATCTCTTCACATCATTATCTATGGGCATTTGAGCTGAAGGTCCCTGCACTTACACCTATCAATCATAATTACCTTGTGCTTTGCCCAACTTTTCACTTAACCAATTTCCTTAGCTTAAATGTCACTTCCTTAGAAGTCCTTCCCTGAAGCCCCAGACTGGGTTAACTCTGTATGAACATGCTCCTATAGTATTCATTCACATAAAAATTATCTACTGGGCACCTATCATGTGTGAGGTGCTGGAAAAATGGCGTGGACAAGACAGACAAAATCCTTGATCTCTTAGACCTTATTATTCTAGTGCGGACAAGTGAGTGAGCACTATTGAGTGTGTGCACACATGTATTTGCAAAGCATGGCACAGACAATAAACAATAAAATATTACTGATGTTACAAAGCAAATCTCTTTAGAGTAACATTTAAACAGAAACCCAACTACAAGGAGACAACTCAGCCAAAATAAGAAAAGCACTCCAAGTTTAGGGAATAGTTGGTTTGAAAGTCCTAAGTTGAGAATGAGCTTGCTTTGTCTGAGGAAAAGAAATGTGGCCAGGTGGAAAGACTTTGACTAGACTGAGGGAATCAGGCAGGGAGAAGATGACAATTATTTTGCATATCACTTCTTACTTCATTCCTTTTTCCATCTAGTTCTTTTTACTATTCCATTTTCTTTCCTCCCCTTTTACCCCTAGTTTAGGTTGAAGATCTAGTCAATTAATGGCTATCAAAGTTCATAACTGCAGATCTTCTAGCATTTTTTTGTTTAAGATGGAGTTTTACTCTTGTCGCTCAGGCAGGAGTGAAGTGGTGTGATCTCAGCTTACTTCAGAACTCTGCCTCTGGGGTTCAACCAATTCTCCTGCCTCAGCCTCCCAAGTAGCTGGGATTACAGGTGCCCGCCACCATGCCCAGCTTTTTTTTTTTTTTTTTTGAGACAGAGTCTCACTCTGTTGCCCAGGCTCAAGTGCAGGGGCGCGATCTCGGCTCATCGCAACTTCTGCCTCCGGAGTTCAAGTGCTTCTCCTGTCTCAGTCCCACTAAGTAGCTGGGATTACAAGTGTGCACCACCACGCCCAGCTAATTTTTTGAATGTTTAGTAGAAACGGGGTTTCACCATGTTGGCCAGGCTGGTCTCGAACTCCTGACCTCAGTTGATCTGCCCGCCTCAGTCTCCCAAAGTGCTGGGATTACAGGCGTGAGCCACCATGCCCGACCAGATCTTCTAGTTTTTAATACTATTAAGAGATAAAATCGGCCGGGCGCGGTGGCTCAAGCCTGTAATCTCAGCACTTTGGGAGGCCGAGACGGGCGGATCACGAGGTCAGGAGATTGAGACCATCCTGGCTAACACAGTGAAACCCCGTCTCTACTAAAAATACAAAAACTTAGCCGGGCGAGGTGGCAGGCGCCTGTAGTCCCAGCTACTCGGGAGGCTGAGGCAGGAGAATGGCGTAAACCCGGGAGGCGGAGCTTGCAGTGAGCTGAGATCCGGCCACTGCACTCCAGCCTGGGTGACAGAGCGAGACTCCGTCTCAAAAAAAAAAAAAAAAAAAAAAAGGAGATAAAATCAAATTAGCTAGGCACTGTGGCTCACACCTGTAATCCCAGCACTTTAGGAGGCCAAGACGAGAGTTGTGGGGTGGTTGAGCCCACAAGTTTCAGACCAGCCTGGGCAACATAGCAAGACTCCATCGCTCTTTTCTTTTTGAGAGGGGGTCTTGCTCTGTCACCCAGGCTAGAGTGCGGTGACCTTGGCTCACAACCTCCGCCTCCCGGATTCAAGCGATTCTCCTGCCTCAGCCTCCTGAGTAACTGGGATTACAAGGCCTGACTAATTTTTCTATTTTTAGTAGAGATGAGGTTTCACCATCTTGGCCAGGCTGGTCTTGAACTCCTGACCTCGTGATCTGCCCACCTCGGTCTCCCAAAGT